TCGGTGTCCCACTATCGAGACCAAGGGACGTAGCACCAGACGTAAATTAATAGTTACCTATAGTAACTTAAGTTCTACAATAGGTGCGATAGTCCCCTTAGCCTACGAGCCCATCAGCCAGCCCTGCTTGGCTGAGTTCAAGAGGGGGTGCGGCTGTGTGCAGGGGCGGGCCTTTATAGATGTGGGAGGCTGGTTATTGGAGCAAATTATTTTGATCTCTCTGGCGAGTGACCTGGTCACGAGCGATACTCCACTACGAAGTCTAAGGGACACGCACCCTATTCGTAGAACTTAGTTACATAGGTAACTGATTAAATCGTCTTGCATTTGCTAAAATGACTCCATTAACAAAGGGTGGTACCATCTATTGATCTTTGCCTGTCTCTTCACGACAAAATCTGATACAGTGACCGCATTATCCACACATGCTGCAACAAATCCGTCTGATATCTCACGTCATGCTCCATCCTGCCCTCCTGAGACAAGACCTAAGAGACTGTGACTCCTCCACTGAGGAAGACACCTCAGAATCAGAATCAACACGTAACCAACACGCAACCGACACGTAACAGTCCCCACTCTTTTTTTACACACACAAAGAATTATTGAATTCACATTCTGATACAGCTTTTTGGCAGCTGAATCAACTACGTCAGTGGTTCTCAAACTTTTTGGCACCAGTACCACCTCAGAAAATACTTCTCCTCGTCCAAGTACCACCACCAAAAAAAGACCAACACTATACAGTTGCGTTATTAAGCCTAAGTAATTCATCAAGAACAAGGCCGAGTTTCATTTCCTATAGAAAGTAATATTTAATAATTGTGAGCCATTAAACTTTTTACCATTTTCATACCATTACAAACTGTGCTTAAATATAGGAGAAATAGAAAAAACTAAAAACTTGTTACTTCAATAATGATTCAATTTAAATTTTCAATTCATTACAAACGGGTAAAGCCTTGACTCACCCACGGGTGAATTCTATCCATCGAGTGGGGGATGGCCTTCTTTGTCCCACCAGAGGGTTGGTCACGGGGGCACTTTTGTTTTATTAAGGGCTTGTCAGCTGGCCTCTTACAGGTTCAATCTGCCATTTACTTCACACAAAGAGATGTTGGTTCATATGGTTTGCGATCAATGATCTTTTGTTTGTTCTCTGAGTCCCTTTGCCCGCACAGAACTGGGAAAAATAACTTTTGTATATTGTTACGACCCTCGCTCTAGGCCGAAACATAAACAGAAGGGGAAGAGACAACGGCCATTGTTCAGACCCTCGTAGGGGCATTTATGCCATACTAATATCAGAATCAGAATCCTTTTTTTGCCACGTAAGTAACAGGAATCACAGACTTGGGGAAATTGCTTCGGCTCAGTGGCAACAGTTCAGAGAGAAAATAATAAAAAATAAAATAAAGAATAAAAAACACTTCTTAAGGAAACATATAAATTTATGAATAGAGTTAAAGAACGTTTACCTATGTACTATAGACACGTGCACAACTATGGTGCTCACAATGTAAGGTGACAGCAGTACAGTGAATAAAGTGACGTATGATGGCATAAAGTGACTTTTTATAAAGGGCGGGGGACAGGTAAAGAAGTGTTCAAGAGTCCAACAGCAAAGTGGAGAAACTGTATCTTGAGACGGACGGTTCTATCCTGAAGGGACCTGCAGTCTCCTGCCTAAGGGGATGTTGGAAGTAGAGTCCATGTGCAAGAGGGTGAGAGGGTCGGCTGTGATACGACCAGCCCGGCCTCGAGCTCGTGCGAACGTACAGGTCCGTGCTGCGAGGAAGGCTTGCGGCAATCAATTCCTCTGCTGACGCACAATGCCTGTAGTCCTGTTTGTCCCTGACAGTGAGCTCCCAGCGAACCACACGGTGACGGAGGAGGTGAGGAAGGACTCATGATGGGGCCGTGTAGAACTGGCACGAACCAACATCTAGTGCAGGCAGTTGGGCTTTCTGAGCTGTCTGCAGGAAGACATTCCTCTGCTGGGCCTTCTGATGAGGGAGCTGATGGTCACTCCCACTGTTGAGGTCCTGGGTGATGGTGGGCCCAGGAAACGAAGGGAAGAGTCCATCACGAAGTGGGGGCGGGGGACAGTGCTTCTTCTGAAGTCCAAACACTCCGACTGTCTTCCTGGGCGTTCAGCCATTGTTACCAACTTGCACGCAGACACCAGCCGGTCCCCCTCCCTCCTGTAGGCGACTACAATCGGGTTCTTGGAGAGAGTCCAATGAGGGAGGTGACATCCGCGAACTTTAGCAGCTACACAAGAGTCGTGCTGGCGGTAGCCGTGTTTGGTGTTAACAGGGAAAAGAGCAGGGGAGAAAGACACCGCCTGTGGGGCTCCTGGATTTATACTCCGAGAGTCCGAGACATTCTTCCCCACGAACGCACTCGCTGCTTCCTGTCCTGACAGGAAGTCAGTGATCCACCTGCAGGTGGAAACGGCACGTGAGCTGGGAGAGCTTGTCCCTGAGCAGGATGGCAGGATCGTGTTGGAAGGCAGAGGCTTAAGGTCCACGAACATACCCTGGCCGGTAGGTCCCCGGGGAGTCCAAAGTGCTGTAGGATGGTTGGTGGAGGGCCAAGGTTGATGGCTTTCTACAATCTGTTGGCTCGGTAGGCGACTGCAGGGGGTCCAGGAGGGGGGGATGTGAGGGACTTGAGATGGGAGAGGACCAGGCGTTCAAATGACTTCATGACGACAGACGTAAGTGCCTACAGGCGTAGGCATTGAGTCCTGTGATCCTGGGCTTCTTCGGGACGGGGGCAATGATGGAGGCATTGAAAGCAGGCCCGGGACAAGGCAGGACGGCAGAGAGAGTTGAAATGAATGAACACAAGGATTAGCTCACTCGCAAGCATGTCCCAGAGTGGGCTAGACACTGGTCCGGGCCCTGAGCTATGGCGGGGTGGCAGCCTCAGACGCGTTGTTCAATAACTGCCTGGTGCGGGGACTTGGCTGCTTTCAGTTCGTCCCTGAACTGATAATTACTCTGCATTGTAGCCGCTGCGGTCCCCCCTCCTGAAAGGCCGACAAGACTGGGCAAGTTCCACCACCTTACAGGTCACCTTACCGTCTAGACGCCCAGGACATAGCTCTCCACGTGCTGTCCCGGTTGGCTTAGCACGTGGGTGGTGAGGATCCTTCCTCTGCCAGGGTAGATTCCTGCAGGCTGGACACGCCCCCTGCCTAAGTGATAGGCAGAGGAGAAGGGAGAAACGCCCTAGCCGCAATGATCGCGCATACGATGTAACTGAACTTGAAAACTGACATTGAAAATGTTCCAAAAAGTAGACATGACACAACTGTGTCCACGTCCCTGCGCTTCGGCATCTAAGAGGCAAATAAGTTTTGTTCAGATGTTTTTTCAAAGGAACGTAACCGTAATTATTGTTTGCTTGTAATTTTGTGGTATATATAGGACATACAAGCCTCACTTGATCACCAGGCGGAAAGGATGAGCTCAGGACAACGGCCAAATGGCGACGCAATATTGGCTTTGGTTTACACCCATTTCCCCCTGCATAAAACGTTGCATAAACCGTTACCGAGATCCAACGATTTTTCAGGCGGTTCAGACTCTTAAACTCCAGCACCACTACATTGCATGGGACAACCCCTGGTACTTTCAAGAGACCTCCTCCCAGCCAACACAACCAAGGCAGACCTCCTCCCAGCCCTTACCTATCTCTATAACAGTAAGTATAAGAAACGGTCACTCATCCGCTTGGGAGTGCGGTCAACGAAGTTATTTCACGACCTAAGAAAACAAATGAAGTTCAGTTTGTGTCCCCGTCCCAACTGAAACCACTTCCGGTCTCCCAAAACCAGAGATGAACTGTGACATTCTGCAACCACCGAGTTAGCTGTAACAAAGCAATAGGTACACAACAGGATACACTTGCTTGACAACAGTCAGTAATCTGTAATTTGTATGTGACTTTAAATTAGGACCGCCCTTAAAAAGAGTCCCTTAATCTCAATGGACTACCTGGATTAAATAAAGTAAAAAAATAATAATATATATAATAGTAAGATATAATAATAAATATATATTAGGGCTGTCCAGATGACTGCAAGAAATTAGCCTTTGAAAACGTATACAGGTTGTGAGCAAGTCAAACAGACTTCAAGCAGAGGCTCGGGAAGACCTGCGTCACAGAAAACTAGGGAACTCAGACCAATGGAGAGATCCAGAGGAACAAAATTCAAAATGTAGTACAACGGAAAACCATAATGAGGCCGCCACACAGACGTTTATTTGGCTCCAGAAGTGAGATTTTAACTAATTGGAGTAAAATGTCAATTATATGCCAGGACATGTAGGAGCTCTAATAGGAAACATATTTTAGCAGTGTATAAGTAAAAAAACATGACTGCAAGAAATTAGCCTTTGAAAAATAAGGCTTCATTGTCTATGTGTGAATTATCGAATGATAGTAATTGGAATCAGAGCAGCCTTGGAGCAATAATACTCAGCAAAAGCTTACTGCTGAGTGAATTAATAATACACTATTACAACACAACTTTGTAACTTTGTCTGGACAAAACCACTCTTTGAATAAATATTGCTTTATGACAGGACATTCAATCTGGAGTACCAAACTTAATTTTCAACAGAAATAATCAGACAAAGAAAGAAAAATGCACAACAAACAATAATAAGCTGTATTCTTCTGATCAAAAACATTCTATATTTTGCTTTTTTGTAAGAAAGAGACATGTTTTGACACTTTCGGCTGAGAGCTGATTCCTAAGTCTCTTTTTCACATTTTGTCTGAAAACCCTGTTATAAAGTTGTGACATAGACCAGAAAATATATGCATGTGAAAACTAGTGATAAGAGTTTTGTTTTGACAGCTTGGGTAGTTTTGCAAAGGTTCAATGGAACGTATCAGACTAGAGTAAATAGAAGCTGTTTCTAGTTGCTCCGTGTTTTTCAGGTATTGGTTACGGAGGCCAGCTGATCCTTCTGTACAGCTGTATGACCTACATCATCATCTTGGCGTGGGCTCTGCTTTACCTGATCTTCTCCTTCAGCTCTCAGCTTCCTTGGGCCAGCTGCCAAAACTACTGGAACACTGGTGCGGTGTTGTCCTTTCTCACACAAGTAACAGTCAAACTCCAACTCACTGAATGCATTATTGTAAAATAAATGTCTGTTTTCAGCAAACTGTTTGGACTTTACAACAGAAAGCAACACATCATGGAACAATGACAATTTATCGACCTCTGCTGCCACTGAATTCTGGGAGTACGTTTATTTATGCACATTGCGTTTAAAGAAGATATGAGGATTAATTAATTTCGGTTTTTGTTTTTTAGGCACAGAGTTTTGTCCATCTCCGATGGAATAGAGCAGATTGGCAGCATCCGTGTGGAGATTTTGTTGTGTCTAACTGCCATGTGGATCATTTGCTACTTTTGCATCTGGAAAGGGGTCAAGTCAACAGGAAAAGTAGGTCATTAACGAGAAAATGTGTAAAAATTGTCAAAGGGGATGTATTTAAAAAAATACACCTGCTCGCGATAGTAAGACACAATGAAGAGGCAAGGCCAAACAGAACTGCTGAAAGTGAATGGATTCCCTTCAATTATAAGGCATTTAAAGAACAAATATGTTGCATTATTTTTGGGAATTCAAAATAATATTGAGAGTATTTACTTTGACATTCATGCTTTAGAATATTAGATAATAGTTTGAGTAGAAATTCTGTCGTTAAAAAAAACGACGCTTATCTTTCACTCCCTATGCTACCACCAGAGGAAGGAGTTGAATGAGATGAGTTGCAAACATTCATGCAATTGTAAAGTACAACATTGATGAAACTAATGAATAGGCAATACGTCCATTAATACATGTTCTTTCTGTTTCTGTTCTGAGCATCTCTTTTGAATACACTGGAAATGGCAGCAAGTCCCAAATAGCTCGGAAACTGCTCTAGTTGTTTTGTGTTTTACAATTGCTATTTGTTTAGCTTTTTTCTACCTGAGATGTTGCTGCAGTGCAGTGTTCATGGTTTTGCACTGGTCCAGACCAGAGCAGTGGAGGAATGCTAACTTTTAGAAAAATACTAATGAAGCATTCAGCCTTTTACTTTGGACCAAGCAGAGAAAATGGTCTGAACCAAGCAGCTTCTCCACCTCTGCTGCTGTGACCTGATGTGCTGTTGCGTTTTTAATACTGTTGTTAACTTTTTAGAATGTTCAATTTATTTGTTTTGTTTGTGTGGATGGATGTGTTTTTGCTGCTACTGGACACCGGAATTTCTCCTACGAGGATCAATAAATAAATCGAAAACAATAATAAAATGCTTGTGTTATTTTTAGGTGGTCTATTTTACTGCCACGTTTCCTTATGTGATGTTGTTGATTTTACTGATTCGTGGCCTGACTCTGCCTGGAGCAATGGGGGGAGTGGTATATTATCTTTTGCCAGAACCATCGCACCTCTTGGACCCTCAGGTGACAGCATTTCTTTTACATATTCTTTCAAATTACATATATCCATTAATGTGCTTGTTTTGGATCAGGTTTGGATGGAGGCGGGTTCTCAAGTCTTCTTTTCCTTCAGTGTTGGCGTGGGCTCTCTGACTGTGCTGGGCAGCTATAACAAGTACAAAAACAACTGTTATAGGTGACATGCAGTTTATTTGCCTTTGTTATAATCACCAAGTTTCCGTTTTTAACTATACTTTGGGCTGATGTCTTTGTTTTCCTTTGGTTTGATAGAGACTGTATGTGGCTGTGTTTGCTGAACAGTGGGACCAGTGTAGTAGCAGGATTTGCAGTCTTTTCTGTGCTTGGATTCATGGCAAAAGAACAGGGTGTATCTGTTTCTCAGGTGGCTGAGTCAGGTAATGGGATAAGAGGATAATATAAATTCATGTTAGGTATTACAATTTTATTATGTATAAATTAGTATGGGTAAACTTACTCTAATGCCAAAGTCTACACTGCAGTACCAACATTAGATAAAAGTTGATTTTAACTGTAACTTTGAAAGCATTAGTTTAATTGGTAAACCATGTTCATATAATAGAGATTGGCCAATTAGGCCAATTATGAAAACACATTATTTTCGGAAAATGATACAATAGTTAAATGGGTCTGTAATAAAATAATGCAGATTAACCACCATGTTTTCATCAATAACATCTGGGGTATTATTCCTAGGACCAGGGTTGGCCTTCATAGCATACCCTCAGGCTATCGCCATGATGCCCCTGAGCTGTGGGCTGTTTGCTTCTTTGTAATGCTCCTCCTTTTGGGCCTGGACACTCAAGTAAGCATTATTCTTTAACCATATTTCTGTAATTATTGGTGTATTGTTTAATTTACTTTTCCTCAATAGCTAACATGGGCCAATTATTATCATCATTATTTTTGTCCCAAATAACGTTTTTTTTTATGGTGTCCAGTTTGCTGCCATGGAGGTGATCATGACTTCTGTCATAGACATGTTTCCGTCTGTGATGCGTCGCTCTGGGCGTCGTGAGGGTTTCCTTCTACTCTTCTGCGTCACATGCTTCATCCTGCAGCTCGTCATGATCACTGAGGCGAGTCTTCATTCACTCGATACACAACATCATTACTCACGTTTGGTTTTCTGCAGGGAGGGATGTACGTCTTCCAGTTGTTTGATTATTACTCCTGTAACGGGACCTGCATTCTGTTTCTGTGTGTCTTTGAGACAATAGCTCTTGGATGGATCTTTGGTGAGTGACAATAAAGAAAAAAAGTTATTAAATATCAGTTTATGCTGCCAACAGAAAGAGCTCCACCATGGCTGGAAATGGAGAAGGAGGCTTGTTTACCCTACACTCCATTGACATGTTTGACTACCTGCCTGACTCAGAAGCTGAAAACCCACTCAGTATTTACTCACCTGCAAAATGTATAGAAAAATGTAAAATAATGTTTAAAGTTGACGTCTGTCTCAAAACTGATGCGAGTATCTGGTCAAATCATTCTTATGGAGAAATTAAATAGAGTTAAAACTCTGGGGGATCTATGAGAATAGCATTCTAAAAACTTTTGAAAAATTAAAACAATACATCCATCCATCCATCCATTTTCTTCCCCTTAATCCATTTCTGGGTCGGGGGGGTGGCAGTCAGATCTGCACCCAGTACACAGAGCACCAGCCCCTCACTGATCCTCCTGCAGGTGGTGAGTCCACAGGAGCTGAGATCTTTCAGTGGGGGTTTCAACTTTAAGGCAAAGTGGGGTTAAGTGTCTTGCCCAAGGACACAACGACAGCAGTCATCAGCGGGAGTCGTGAAGTAGGTCTTATGGTGGGCTCGAACCCACGACCTTCAGGCCCAAAGGCCAATGCTCTACCAACTGAGCTACTGTCGCCCAGTTGTATTGTTTGTAAAACAATACAAACTTGTGATACATGTTAAAATCTGTGTTTGGCCCTTCATTGACAAATTGTCTCACAATTGCACCACATCATCTACGCACAAGTTAGCAACAGAATTTCGATCGGTTGAATGGTGTGCAAGCAGCGGAGAGGCAATACTGAACTCTTTTCCCCCCAACTTTGAGAATTTCCAATTTGCTCCCATTTACTCATACAAAGTTTCGCATTGCCGGCAGTAAGTCAGACCTGTTCCCGGTGCATGTTGGCCTCCGCCAAGACTGCCCTTGGTTACCGGTTCTGTTCACTTTGTTTATGGACAGAATCTCTAGGCGCAGCCAGGTGTCTGAGGGGGTCCGGTTCGGGGACCACAGGATTTCATCCTTGTCCTGTTGGCTCCAACAAACCAGGACCATCAGCATGCACTGGAACGGTTTGCAGCCGAGTGTGAAGCGGCTGGGATGAGAATCAGCACCTCCAAATCCGAGGCCATGGTACTCGACCGGAAAAAGGTGCCTTGCCCTCACCAGGTGGGTGGGGAGGTCCTTCCTCAAGTATCTTGGGGTCTTGTTCACGAGTGAGGGAAGGATGGAGCGTGAGATTGACAGGCGGATCGGTGCAGCGTGCGCAGTGATGCGGTCGCTGTATCGGACCGTTGTGGTAAAGAGGGAGCTGAGCCGAAAGGCAAAGCTTTCGATTTACCGGTCAATCTTCGTTCCCTCCCTCACCTATGGTCATGAGCTTTGGGTAATGACCGAAAGAACGAGATCGCGGATACAAGCGGTTGAAATGAGCTTCCTCCGCAGAGTGGCTGGGCGCTCCCTTAGAGATAGGGTGAGGAGCTCAGTCACACGGGAGGAGCTCGGAGTAGAGCCGCTGCTTCTCCACGTCGAGTGGAACCAGTTGAGGTGGCTCGGGCATCTGTTCCGGATGCCTCCCTGGGAGGTGTTCCGGGCACGTCCCACCGGGAGGAGGCCCCGGGGAAGACCCAGGACACGCTGGAGGGACTTTGTTCCTCAGCTGACCTGGGAACGCCTTGGGGTCCCCCCGGACGAGCTGGAGGAAGTGTGTGGATAGGGAAGTCTGGGCGTCTCTGCTTAGACTGCTGCCCCCGCGACCCGGCAACGGATGAAGCGGAAGAAGATGGAATGGAAGTTTGATTAACACTAAACTTGAATCGGTTGTTCAACTCCTGGGTCTAAATCACCTGGATATGAAAAAATGAAATTGCAATAAGCCATTGTCCCCTACAGAGTGAGCCAAAAGGTATACATGGGGTGGAAAAAATATAACAAAACAAACCAGCCTCAGCCGTTTCATAGATTTGTCTCAAAATTGTTCCACAACATCTAAACACATGTGGCATCAAAAGTTAGCCCCGGAATTGTGATCGGTTTAAACATGAAAGTCTGTGGGGAAAAAAAAAATAATCATAAAATCTCTCAAATTCTCTCCTCCATATGTAGCAAACCAGCCTTGGTTGTTTCACCGATTCGTCTCAAAATTGCTCCCAGTTGCTCTCAACACAGGTAGCATCAAAAGTTAACTGCAGAATTCTGATAAGTTAAACTGTTTTTTCTTTTTTACAAAGCAAACCAGCCTTTTTTTACCCAAACTTGAAAATTTTATATTTGCAGCTGTTTACTCAAACAATGTTTGATTAGCACCAAACATTAGCTGATTGTTCAACTATTCATTCTAGGTCAGCTGAAAGTGAAAAACATGAAATTGCAGCATTAGCATACTTAAAGAATTACATGTATGCTTTGTACATTTAGCAAACCAGCCTCGTCGTTTGACTAACGGATAGACAGATATTTTATTGATCCCCCGTAGGATAAATTCAGATGTCCAGTAGCAGCAACACATCCATTCACACAAACAAAACAAATAAATTCATCATTCTAAAAAGCTAACAATAGTAATAGCAATAATGAGAAACAGCACTTTAGGTCACAGCAGCAGAAATAGTCTAGCCTCTGGATGGAGCAGGTGCGGCTTTGTGCGGTGTGCTGAGAGCCTTGCAGCTTTAATTATTATTTTTATTTTATAAATATATGATATATATATTTATTTTATCTCCCCTCCTGTTCCCCCACCTTGTATGAACATGATATTCCATTCATAAAATAAAAAACAGTTTATCAAATATGTATAATCCACTTAATTTTCTCCAAAGGTGCTAAGAAAATGATTGGGATTATTAAGGACATGACAGGCTCCACACCCAATCTATACTTCAAAATCTGCTGGCTCTTTCTCACTCCAGGAGTGTCACTGGTGAGTCTGCCCTCATATTTACAAACTGAAACAAACTTGATGCTGTCATTATTGTGCAGGTCTCCTTCATTTGTTCCCTGGTGGAGTATCAGCCTCTCACGTTTAACCGCTGGTATGTGTACCCGCCCTGGGCATACACAGTGGGCTGGGTGCTGGCCTTCTCCTCCACGGTGCTGGTACCAGGGTGGGCCCTTTTCAAAATGACCACTCAGTCTGGGACATTGAAACAAGTAAGAGGCTTATGAGTGTGACTCTTTTAGCCATGTGTGCGGTTAAACAATAAATTATCTTAGTAGTGTTATGTTTTTGAGTAATATGGACAGTTTTTTAGCAATGTGGTTTCGGTCATTTGTTATTATGAATGACTCTTGACACAAAATGTTGTACAGCATTGGCCTCTTGTAAAAAATAGTCCACATCAGTAAGCAATTGTACAACTTCACAACCTAACAACCAAATGTTCATTTAAATGAGTTTAGGGCTCAACATTGGCAAATTACTGATGGGTTAAGGATTTTACTAGCTGTTTAGTCAACCCCAATTTCCATCTGATTGTATAATAGTGAGTCTTGATCAGCAACTCTTCACCCTCCAATATTGTGGTAGTTTAGGGACTCTGCAGCTTATGTAGCAAATTCATATTTTTTTCTCCTTGTGTTTTTTTTCTACAGAGGTTCATCAATCTGTGCAGGCCGAGTGTAGAGTACTCACCGGCCCCTAAATATGACACAGAGCTAGAGGTTACGGAACTGAACCAAATTGAAGACCGCTGTTAAAACTGGTGTAAAGAGAAACAAAACAAAAGCTTTAGCAACTGCATGTTATTTGGGAAATGGATTTACTTTCTACAAATGAAGAAGTATTTTACTTCAATAAAAGAGAGATTTGAGTGAGGAGTGAGGTGGTTTGTTACACTGCACACAACAAATATTCAAGTGAAGGTATAGTTCACATTATGTGTACAGTACATAATAAATTCACATAATTACAAGTTTATGACTATTTGAAGCACATTTGGGGGCACTTCAGAGTTTAGAGCCAACTTTTATTTGAAAAGTTACACAATTAAAATTCGTTGACTGCCATGGACGTAATAATACGTTACAAATGAAAATACATCGTTTTTCAGTCTTTTCCTTTTCATTTGTGTCCCCTGTATCATATGTCTAGGGTTTGGCTGTAGACAGTGTTTCATTGAGCCAATAGCTGGCAGCAGAACTCTGTGGGTGTCTTGGTCAAAGATCAATGCTTGAGCACTGTGAGCAGGAGAGACAAGAGAGGGAGGAATGGAAGACTATAGTCAGGGACGGGCGTCATTTGGAGGCAGTTTGAGCAGTAAATGTGTCTAGAGCTGATAGGGAGCATGTGGAGGGTCAGAGCAGCAGAGCACCCCAAAAAAGCCACTGTAGTGGCTTTTTTTTTACAGTGTAAATAATAGTTGATATTTACACTGTAAATATTAACTATTAAATATGAATTAATATTGACATAGTCACGCCTATCTCCGTCGTTCTAACTAAATGTGCCACCACTTCCGCAATCTATGGGCAGTTTCAAAATGGCCACGGGGGCTGGACAATGTGAAAAAACGCATCTGCGCATGATTCAGTCGGCACGAGCCCCATTCATTTGTTGACTATTGCTAAAACTATCACTATCACAACGCTCGCTGGACTAAACAGAACGACACTCTGTAGATTTAATAGTTACCTAATGTAACTTAAGTTCTACGAATAGGTGCGTAGTCCCTTAGGACTTCGCTAGTGGGATATCACTCGTGACCCCCAGGTCACACGCCAGAGAGATCAAAATAATTTGCTCCAATCACCAGCCACCCTCCTCTATAAATGCCCCTGAACAAGGCCGCACCCCCTCTTGAACTCTGCCAAGCCGGGCTGGCCTGATGGGCTCGTAGCTAAGGGACTACGCACCTATTCGTAGAACTTAAGTTACATTAGGTAACTATTAATTCTACGTCATGGTGCTACGTCCCTTAGGACTTCGCTAGTGGGACACAACGCGGAGGCCGTAGGAACATGTACTCCCAGCAGGCCAGCGAAGGGTGATTGGAGCTCCGCCCGAGCAAGACCCTCACACAGTGAGAGGACTCAGGGCAGAAGAAACAATGCGTGTTACAGGGCCACTCCTACAGAGGATACCCCCACGTAACACAGATGTAGGTCATCCGTAGTCACAGGACGCCTCTCCCAAGGGCTCCTGACGTGGACTACCTGACCGACCAAACACACATATATGTACCGCACCTGTAGGATGCCTCTCCCAAGAGCTCCTGAACCAGGGCGGAAAGTAAACCGAAGGCCCCCTCAGAGGAGGGACCTAACGGTCTAACTCAGTCCGCTGCACTCAGCACGGAATGGGCCACCGACCGGTCCGACACATCCAAAAGATAAGACCGGACGAAAGAGGAGGACGAAGCCCAAGAAGCCGCACGGCAGACGTCCTCGACCGACACCCCCCTGAGAAGGGCCGTAGAGGCCGCCATCCCACGCATGGAATGCGACCTGAAGCCCACCGGGAGGGCCAGACCCTGCGTCTGATACGCCCGCCGCACAGCCATGGCGACCCAGTGCGCCAGCCGCTGAGCCGACAACGGGGCGCCCCTGTTCTTGGGGCCCAGACACACAAACAGCTGACCACCCAACCTGAATGACGACGTCATGGCCAGGTAATGCCTCAGCATTCTGACAGGACACAGAAGGTGCCGCCGCTCCTCCTCGGGGGAGGCATGCGGTGGCGGATAGAAAGCCCTAATCCTGATGACTCTCGACCTAAAGGCCGACGTGATGACCTTGGGGAGAAAAGCCGGATTGGGCCACAATACCACCAGGCCGTCGCCCTCTCCAAAGGACAGGCAAGACAGGCAAGTCGCCCGCCCTCTTAGCAGACGCCAACGCCAACAAGAGGGCCGTCTTAAGCGACACACTCGGGACTCGCCTCCGCCGCCGGTTCAAAAGGCGGACCCGACAGCCCCCTAAGGACCACCCTGAGGTCCCAAACCGGGGGCGTTCTCTGGAGCGGGGGCTTCCTCCTGCGTGCCCCCCGCAGAAAACGTTTAACCAACGGACGAGAGCGGGCTGTGAACCCCCCGAATCCGTCGTGACCCGAAGTAATGGCTGCCGCGAACACCGCCAAGGTGGCGACAGCCCTCCCCTTGTCAAAGAGCTCCTGTAGGAATCCCAGGACCCCCTCCAGCGGGCAACGCCTGGGATCCCAGGAACGAAAAACCGCACCAGTCGCTGAAGAGCCTCCACCTCGTGGCGTAGGCCCTCACAGTGGACGGCGCCCTCGCCCCCTGAATGGTCTCCACCACCGCAGGGGGAAGACCCAGGTCTACGAGGTTCCGCCTCTCAGCCTCCAAACCCAGAGCCTGCGGCCGATTATTGGGCGTGAAAACAGGGCTCCTCCCCCCTGGACTAGAGCCCCCGGCTCGTCCGGGAGGGCCCAGGGCTCCATCACCGTCATGCCCCTCAGGAAGGGGAATCACCGGGCATGCGGACTGTCCGGCGCCACCAGGATCACCGACCTCCTCTCCTGTTCGATCCTCCGCAGCAGGACCGGCAGGAGACACACTGGTGGGAAAGCGTACAACAGGCCGCCTGGCCAGGGGTAATGAGCCAGAGCGTCCACGCCTAAAGGCGGCTCGTCCGCGGCCCTTGAGGCGAACCAGGACGGGCACTGTGCGTTTTCTGCACTGGCGAAAAGGTCGACCACTGGACGGCCGAACCTCCGCCAGATCTCCGCAGCTACCCGTGGGGCCAGGCCCCACTCGTCCTGGAGTAAGCCCCCCCCTGGACATCCTGTCGGCCCCCACGTTCCGGACCCCCGGGACGTGGCGCGCCCTGAGAGACAGGAGGTGGAGCGCCGCCCACAGCAGCGTCACCGTCGCCATGCGATGGAGAGCGGGGGACCTGGTGCCCCCCTGCCTGTTCAGATAGGAGACCACTGTGGTGTTGTCTGAGCGCACCATCACGTGTCTCCCCTGCAGCTGAGGAGCAAAGTGCAGCAGTACTCTGTGTACTGCCTCCATCTCCAGCAGGTTGATGTGACGGGCTGAGTCCGACCAGCAGCCTCCTACAGAGCTCTGGCCGAGGACCCCGCCCCATCCTTCGAGCGACGCGTTCGTGAACACCTCCACGTGAGACACGGCGCAGGCCAGAGTCACTCCGTCCCGCAATAGACCCGGAGTGAGCCAGAACCTGATGTTCGATGCTGCCACTTGGGGAACCCAGATCAGCCTCCCCCCGTCCCGGGAGGGGTGAAGCCTGAGGCGTGAGAACCACCTCTGAAAATTCCTCATGTGGAGAAGGCCTAGCCGCCATCATTCCCAGCAGGGACCTGAGGCGCCGAGCGGGGACTCTGGGGCCCGCCAGAACCTCCCTGGGCAGACGGGTAGTGTTCATCCGTCTGTCCACGGACCATGCAGCACGGAATGTCACAGAGTCTAGCTGCAGGCCGAGATAGATCATGCGCTGAGCCGGTTGCAGCCTGCTTCTACGTCATGGTGCTACGTCCCTTAGCGGACTTCGCTAGTGGGATATCACGTGCACCTATTCGTAGAACTTAAGTTACATTGGGTAACTATTAATTTTCTCCCTGTTCACCACAAAGCCCAGGCGCTGTATGTGGGACAGGACCCAGTGTGTATGACTCACGGCCACTTCCCTGGATGAGGCCAGAATTAACCCGTCGTCTATGTAGGTTAAAATTCTTACCCCTGCGCGTCTGAGCGGCTCCAGTGCTGCCTCCACGCACTTGGAAAAGTGCGAGGCGCGAGTGCGTAGCCCAAGAGGAGACGGCAGTACTCGTAATTCCTCTCTCCACTGCGAAGCGCAGAACCTCCTGTGTTCCGGCACTATCGGCACGTGGAAGTACGCATCTGTCAGGTCTATCGGCACGTGGAAGTACGCATCTGTCAGGTCTATGGAGGATATCCAATCTCCCTGCCTGACACACTCGAGGAGCTGCTTTGTGGGCAGCATCCGAAACTGCCGTTTGGAAATGCACTCGTTCAACACGCGCAGATCCAAAATGGGACGCACCCCGCCTGACTTCCTTGGCACTAAGAAGTAAGGGGAGTACAGCCCCCTGGTGGCGTCCTGTGGGTCTACCTCCACTGCTGCGCCTCGACTCAGCAGAGAGGAGACCTCCGCTTGCAGTACCTCTAACGATCCCCGTACCTGAGATCGTGCTGCCCGTACGCCTCGGAATGGTGGTGGCTTTCGGGAGAATTGCAGTGCGCAACCCCTGCGCAATGTTTTCTCCAGCCATAGATCTGTCAGCAAACCTCGCTCCCTCCAGATGCTGTAGAAGTCTGTGAGGGGCGGAACGGGAGCTGGAATACGAAACGTCACGGCCCCGCCCTCTCCTGGTGTTACTAGCAGGGAGGGGGGGTGGACGAAAGGGCCGGGGGGGCCCCCTGCGTCACACCGTGAGCGCCGGGGGCGGTCACGTGTCCTGCAGGCCCGACGTCATAAGTACGGGACTGCTCATCCCACGTGACTCGGCTGATGTGCCCCCCCCGGCTCTTGCCTCATGGAGGGGGGGGGGCGAGCCCCTGGAGTGGGAGACCCCGTGTTAGCCTTGTAGCTCAGAGATGCTAACACGCGTTCGGCCGAAGCACACACATCATTACTCACCAGATCCCTCCGCCTGACCTCTCTCTGGGAGGGCATAGCATGGATCAGAGGACCGGAGCTCGTAGCTCGCGTAGCGCACTGCACACCCTGCTCTGGGGGCTGCAGGCCTAGCGAAGCAA